TGGTAAATTAAAAGTCAGGCATATCTTATTTTAACAACTGAAAACTAGGTTTGCCACCTTCTGTTGTCATGAAAGGTAAAGCAGTATAGCTATTGCAAACATTTAAAAGGAAATTAATGAAAAAAACAAACAGGGCATTTCTTGCATCCATCTGCTCTAAAGAGATGACCTCACCAAACATGATCACTATAACATGTGTGAAGGAAACCAAATACTAATCCTGATAAGTGCAATTACATGTCTCCGTCAATGTTTTCCATCCCCTGTTGGTAGCTGTTTGACACAGAGTCTTACTCGTTTAGACAACCTAAAAAGGACCTACAAGCACCAGCCCTACCTTACGACCACACTGTGATTGTAAACAGCTCAGGGCTTCTTTCTAACTCCCTCCCTCTGCTCTTTTATGGCTCTTCCAGTAAAGTCATGGATGGGGCCTAGGTTCTGTGGAGGCTGACATCACAGGCCGAGACTCTGGGCTGCGGGCCAGTAACAGCGTAGCGGATTGATCTTCTGATTTAGGGGTCTACACTGAGCATAAACTGTGAGACCTCCAACATGATGACTGTACGAGGCGGTGGGATTACTCCATGGCACGCAAAGGGGCTGACTCACAGCTTCGCTCCCCTCTGCTCCCGTGGTCAGAGCACATGTGCATCTCTCTCCCCATCATAGGTCCAAGTCTGCCATTTAGACTAACATGATTTCAATTGCAAGTGGAGAGCCTCGATGTTTGTAGCCAAATAGTCATTTCAATCCTGAGTAAACTGTGAGGAGTGCAAAGCAAAAATAAACAAAGAGGAACAGCAAGAAGAATCAAAATAGGTTTTGAGAGTTTACCTAGGCAAACATGAAGAAACCTGCATCTGAAGATTATTCGCATCTCCTGAGGCCATGTGCTGTTAGCATCTAATTACAAAGTATGCTTTGGTCCGATAATTAGAAAGTGTGCATTAGCATGCTAGTTGTTAGTTTTACCTTTATGCCAAAGAAAAAATCATCATCTTTTAATCTTACATAAAGCTTTTCCATACGGCCAAAATCACAACAGTTCCATGCATTGTACATTCACTCCATACTCCATGGTAACCTACTATTGTAGCCACAGATGCTCTGTTGCAGAATGGCATCAGCAAGGTTACTAACCTGTGCTATCCCTCTGACCACTACCAAACCTCCAGTTTTCTTAGAGTACACTTATAAACATCGTGGTGAATAATTAGGATGCTCAAAATGTATAGAGTGAAGAATAACTATAATAACTAGAATAGTTTTGAAACGAATATCAGGCAAAGCATCTTTAGATAAATTACACTTCTATATTTTTTTCATTCTATAAATTGTGTAGAACTGGTCCAATGAATAAGGTCCTTCATCATTCATCAGAACCTCTCCCTCCCTGCTGCAGATTATGAGCTGTGACTAGCATGTATTCAGAATAAATAAGTATATATAAGTATACACTGCAGCCATTTCTTAGGCATGTCAAGGTTTATTGGTATAGCACAATTCTTACAAAGTAATTCAAAGTGTTTTACAGAATAAGAAAAAAACAAAACAAAAAAAAAACAATACAAACAAATCAAAGTATAAATAATCATCATAAAATAAAAAAAAAGAAAGAGAGAAATTAAATGAGAGAGAAGAGTGCAGAATGAAAATCTTTCAGTCATATGCACAGCTAAATAGAATTGTTTTGAGCCTGGATTTAAACAGAGTCAAGGTAGAGGGTTGTCTCACATCTTCAGGAAGACTGTTCCAGGATTTAGCTGCATGAAACTGAAACTCTGACTTCCAGTGTTTAGTCCCGACTCTGGGAACCAGCAGGAGGCCCGTCTCTGAGGTCCTCAGAGTGCGAGATGGTTCATATGGCACCAACATGTCAGAGACGTACTTTGGTGCACAGCCACAGTAAGTCAGTGAGATCTGAGTGCAGGACACGTGCTCGTACTTCCTAGTTCAAGTCAGAACCCGAGCTGCAGCATTCTGGATGTTCTGCAGCTGTTCTAACAGCTTGTTTGGAAAGGCCAGTGAGCAGACCATTACAGTAGTCTAACCTACTGGAGACAAACGCATGGATAAGTCTCTCCAAGTCTGCTTTAGACAGTATACCGTTGATTTTTAATATGTTTTTTAGGTGGTAAAAGGCTGCAGTTGTTATTGATTCAATGTGGCTATTATAAGTTCAAGTCTGAGTCCATTATTACCCCTAGATTTCATGCCTGATTTGAAGGTTTTAGAGAGAGACTGGAGGTGACTGCTGACACTGTCTCTTTGTTTCTGTGGGCCAAAGACTTTGACTTCTGTCTTGTCTGAGTTTAGCTGGAGAAAGTTGTTTTGCTTCCACCCACTGATCTGTTGGATGCAGTGGCAAAGTGAGTCCACTGGTCCATAGTGTCCTGCTGCCAGTGAGACATAGATCTGAGTGTTTTCTGCATGGTTGTGGTAAAACACATTAACTGACCTAGTGGCAGCATGTACAGACTAAACAAAAGGGGGCCCAGGATCGACACCTGGGGCACTCCACAGGTCAGGGCCATGTGATCTGAGACACAGTTTCCAATTTCAACAAAGTATTTCCTGTCTTCAAGATAGGACTTGAACCAGTTTAGTGCAGAACCAGAGATGCCCACCCAGTCCTCTAGTCTATGTAAGAGGATCCCATGATCGACAGTGTCAAAAGCAGCACTCAGATCTAACAGGATCAAGACTGAGACTTTCCCTGCCGCCCTAGGGTCCCAGTCTCTCTTCCCGACAGCCGCTCAGGCCGACAGCTTGTCCACCAGAAAAATTACGTAGTGTACCTTTAATACTGGATAATGTGAATAATTCTAGAGGCGAAGTACAGAAACTAAGCCACAGGTCACGTGACTTTAATGGTCAAGAGCACTGTCAGACTAAGACTGTGCATAAAAACACATCCTCCACCAGAAAAGTTACATAGTGTGCTTTTAAAATTGGATAATGTGAACGATACTAGAGGCAAAAGTTTAAAAACTAGGGCAGAGGTCTCATTGACTTTTATGATCAGGAGCATGTCGGGGAATGTTCTGCAAAGTTTCATGAATGAACGTGAAATAAATTTTATTTCTCCTTATAGTAAATTTTGTGCATTCCTATAGGTGGCGCTGTAGCACTGATAATTGTGTTTGACATATCAATGGAATTAGGGGCATGCAGTGTATAACTGATAGAAATTTCATCACGATCAGAATAAACATGTGCATATAATAATTTTTACAGTATTTTGGGGGGAATTCATTGCGCCCCTGCTGGCCAACCATGGAAAATGCCTCATGTCCATAATAGACTTTTTGACTTGTAATCGTGCATAGAATTTAATCCACAAATTTGGTACAAATCCGATAATGTTGACATTTCATGTCTATCCTAGGGGGCGCTATCAAGTTCACTTTTCATAAACTTTATAGTGTATTATATTCAGGCCGTGATCAGGCATTAATGATTCAAATTTCAGCATGATTGGACTAAGCCTGTGTGTGTAATAACTTTTTAGCTATTTTTTGTTGGAGTCTTTGCACCCCTGCTGGTCAATGGTGGAAAAGGCACCATGGCTGTAATAGACTTTTTTGCTTGTAATCATGCATAGAATTTAATCCCCGAATTTGGTACTAATCCGATAATGTTGAAGTTTCCTGTCTATGGAGGCGCTATAGAGTTCACTTTTATTAGATTTCATATTTCATTATATTCAGGCCTGGATCACACAATTGTGATTTGAATTTGAGCTCTCTAAGATAATGCCTGTGGCCGTGACAGGTCACAGAAGAAAGAGGAAATGAAGGCGTTTTTTGCCGGCATGCTACGGGCGAACCATAAGGAGTATCCCAAAAAAAATTTAACATTTTTGTGAGTTTATGTCTGCAGATGTGATGTCAAATCTGAGCTTATTTGGACCAAACCCCGGGGACTTAAATCTTTTTGTAGACACCCAAGTCAAAACGGACAAATTTTTGATCCAATATGGCCAGCTTCGTCATAGGGCTACACAATGATTGGCTTTTTTGCTTGTCTCCTTGAGTTCTGTCACTGTTCTCAATTTCGTGAACCTACGCCAAAATATGTGTCTGAGCCTCCAATTCATTTTTAAAATTTGACATTTCCAGGGGCTGCTGTTGAATGGGGTCACTTTGGGCATTGTCGCAATGCCCATCTTATCAAATTTTTCACCAGACCGCTCAATCTGATACGCGGTTTGGGGACTTTTCATCGACGTTCAGGGGGTCAAAATCGTTTGCAAGGAAAAATAATAATAAAAGAACATAAACTCACGAAGAACAATAGCCCTCGCCAGTTACTACGTTACTGGCTCAGGCCAATAAATAAACTGAAACAACAGACATGTGGTTTGAACCTAATACTTTGTATTAGGGATAAATGAATTCATTGAAAATGTTAAAATTACAATCATGTTTCTGAGACATACAGAAATTCAAAGAAGCATATGAAGCCACACGTTAAGCCTGTGAAATATAGCCATAACTGAACAATACTGTTAAAATACTCCTCATGGAGTTGTTTCATAAACTTTTAATGTTGTGTGTACTTCAGATGTTGCTTCAGCCAAGTCAGATTCAAATAGTGGCCATGACGTGAGAACTGGTTACACAGCTTTAGGATATCCTGGTACCAGGTGTGGTGAGCTATAAAATGCAGGCACCTCTTCCTGATCACCAGTTGAATTTGCATCTGTGGCACCTCGAGGGACCAATACGCAGCAAGAACAGGTGATTTTAATTTTTTTATTTTTATTTTGCATACTTTACTATGCTTACTTATAAAATTACATGCATTTGTATTGTGTGTATTTTGTTAACCTATGTGGATTTTTAAGAAAAAAAAAAAAACGTTGTGGTTTTTATCAAATTTGACCATCATTTGAAAAGACTCACAAAAAGATATGTTTCACTCATAAATGGTGAGAAAATTGTCATTTACTTTTCTTACCTTGGATTCTAATGATCAGAAGCACGAGAGGAGAGACAGGGGAGAAAAGGTGAGGAGCTGATACTGGAACAGAGACTGGGAGGGGGAGCAGGGGCAGCACACAAACAGAGGCGGAGGGAAGGAGAGACTTGATTCTGATTTAAATTTGCACAATATGACTAAATTTGACTCTGGACCTGTCTCAGAGCTTTCACCTAAACAAGAGAGCTCATCTACAGTACCATGCATTGTTACTGCAATGGAATTGACTGTAGATTTGCCAATTTAAATGTGTTTGGTTGATCGCGATCTAAACTTTGCATTATCATCGAGATATATCAACCTTTTCCAATATTTGGCACAGCCCTACTCTACTTTAAAACTAGATACAGATGTAAAGACTGTTTTATCAATAAAACATTGAACACTTGTTTCTATTTTTATTATATTATCCTTTTTTTCTTTTTTTTTTTCCTTTTTTTTAATAAAACACAGCTGTCAAATTTCAGTCTATTTAAGGAGGTATTGCTATGGAACCATCCAACTCTGAATCATCAGAATGGGAAAAGGGATCAAAGGTGGGACTATAACATTCATTTAAAACACTCAAGGTCTAATTAGTTTTAGTTTAAACTTTTGAATTACGCTTCATCAGGTGTTTAATGACCCTGTCCATGGTAATATGGAGTTCCACCCTATTCTGGTCAAAATCATAGACACGCCCGAGTTTCAGAGACTTCGCAGCATCAAACAGCTGGGAGGAGCCTATTTCGTTTACCCAGGAGCATCCCACAACAGATTTGAACACTCACTCGGGTAGGCTACGTACTTAATGGGAAATTAAAAATACATTTCAAATATGTTTAAAACATGAAATACCGTGAAACAAAAATGTAATAATACAGATCACACAATTTTATAGAGTGGCCCATTTAGCAGGACAGTTTACGCGAAGTTTAAAGGAGAAACAACCAGAACTTGGAATTGATAAGAGAGACATCATTTGTGTGGAAATAGCTGGTCTCTGCCATGATCTGGGTGAGCAAAATTCATTATAAAATAAGCTATTTCTTACTTCATCAAACATGTACCACTATATCACAGTGAGCATTGTGTGCAATCAGTAATTTATGTTTAAGAAAATATTTTATGTTTTCAGTTTGTAATGATTCTTAATATTTTGTTGATGTTTGTAAAGGACATGGGCCATTTTCCCACTTGTTTGATGGAATGTTCATGCCTAAAGTAAAAAATAATAATGGATGGAAAGTAAGGAATAGATTTGGTAACATATTAATATTAATATGAATGCAATAATGTCTAATATTTCCATGGCAGCATGAGCAAATGTCCATTGACATGTTTGAACACATAGTGGCAAGGCTAAAGCTAACAGCTATGTTTGACCTGGAGTCTGAGTTAAAGATGCTGAGTAGAAGATCTGAAGGTGATAAAGATAATGACCTAGCCTTTATCAAAGAGATGATTAATGGACCAAAAAATGAGGTAAAACTGTTACAAGATCTGGATTATTGTGACTGCCTCAGTCTGAATGTGTTTAAATTCAAATAGGGAGAATACGAAGGCCGTCCGTCAAAGCCTTTCCTCTACGAGATAGTGGCGAACAAAAGGACTGGAATCGATGTGGACAAGTTTGACTATTTTGCAAGGTTTGGTCTGTCTCAGAACATTTCAGGTGGATGTGCTTTATCACTTACATTTGACTCCATTTGAACAGAGACTGCCATCACCTTGGAATAAAGAATAGCTTTGACCACAACCGCTACATAAAGTTTGCCAGAGTCATCGAGGTAAATGGTGAAAAGCAGATCTGCATAAGAGACAAGGTTTGAGATGTTAGTTTAATGCAGATGATTATAATTCATCATTTGAATATGTGATCTAATTCTTGTGAGTGGCTTTACTGTCTTAAGGAGCTGTCCAATATTTATGAAATGTTCCACACGAGGAGTTCTCTCCACAGAAAGGCCTACCAGCACAAAACCAACAAGTGCATTGAGCTGATGTAAGTATATAAAAGATATAATATATATTTTTATGTGTTGTAAATGTAATCTGTCCATAATATAAATCACAGGATTAGAGATGCCTTACTCAAAGCAGATAAAAAATTTGAGATTTCCACACCTGTGGTCAACATGCAGAAAAACACGGAGGAAAACATGAAGAATACATCGAGCTCACAGGTCTTGAGTTTTACTTTTGCCTTTATTTTTACTAGCCTATATGAACATCATGTGTCTATTGTCTGTGTTTTAGACGGCATCTTTGAAAAAATACTTCATTCCAAGGATTCTGATAGGAATATGATGGAGGCACGAGAAATTCTAGAAAACATTCTCAGTCGAAAACTGTACCCATATCTAGGAGAGATTAAAATGACAGATACACTTGCCGCAAAGGTGTGCTTTTATGTACACAATGCAATTCACAGAGCCGTATCTGACTTTTAACTATTTTTTATTTTAAGTTCATAACAGGAAAAATATTGGAAAACCTGACAAAATATGACATTGGAACTATTGTAAGTAAATAGTACTTTTTCATGTTATCTGTTACAGTCGGTATCTAAGAAAAAATACTTTCTTCTGCTGATGGGAGTCTGAAGGAGGCACAGGACATAAACTGCTCCTGATCTTAACCAGTGTTGGGCATGTTAGTTTGAAAAAGCAATTAGTTATAGTTACTTCTCCCAAAAAGTAACTGAGTTAGTAACTGAATTACTCTATTATAAAAGTAACTAGTTGCTAGAGAAAGTAACTATTGCGTTACTTTTTTTTTTTTAAGGGCGCTCACACTAAGATTTAAGAACCGTGCCATGGTCAAGCATGATTGCTGTGGGTTCTAGGATCCGCACTCACACCTGCACAACTCAGTGAAGCCACGGCCTGATGACATCATCACACAGTGTTGTTACCTGTCATGCAGTAGTGCTATCGCTTTTAGCAGAGAAAATAAGTTAAGCGGCGTGAAATATCTATTAAATTAGAGCCCGACCGATATGGATTTTGTTGTGGCCGATATGAAACTGATATAATGGGAGTTGGCGCTGCCGATAGCCGATATAATCGCCGATATATTTAGTGATGTAAAAATTCACTGTAAATCTTGAATTGTTTAAAAAACTTAGGTTTGGCTCTAGTGGATTCTAAATTGGGTTTATTTAGGCAACATTTATTGTTATTCTGACTCTTTACATCATATTTACATACAGTAGATTGGCCTAATGGCATTTTTGCATCACATTCTAGCTACAAGTGATGGGTATTCCAGTTTTTTTTTTTGGAGAACTGGCTCTTTTGGCTCGGCTCCCAAGCGACTCTTGAGATTGTTTTGTTGCAAGCAGGACTAAACTAAAACTGAACCAGGACTGAAAAAGGACTAAACCAGGACTAAAACAGATTTAAACCATGTGTGAAACAGGACTAAACCAGAACTGAACCAGGACTGAGTGTCGGGACTCGGTCTCTATCTCTCTCTCAAGACCAAGATTAGTCCTGGTTTATTCATTTTATGCTGAACTGCAGCCAAATATGCACTTTTTTTTTTTTTAAATCCTATGCACACGCAGATTTCTGAAAGTTTCGTTTTCAGCCGCTGCTGCTGTCAAACTACGGGTCTACAAGCGGCTTGAAGAGAAAAAGTGAGAAAAAGAGAAAACACGGCTCCCAATAAGAAACATGCTCCTGTTGTTCAAAGAGTCGGCTCTAAGAGCCGCTTCGATCGCGACCGACCCATAACTCCTAGCTAGAAAAGAAACTACCGCTATTAGCCTTTAGCAGTAAAAACGTGCGCACCGCGGTAATTATATGCATAAATGTGGATCATTCACACGTCTATTCACAGTTCATTTACATATCAATGCTGGTCCAGTAACAAATATACGGACAATATAGTCACTTTACAATAGGCCAATAGAAAACAGCCTGTTTATGTGCGGGAGCTACAGCAGCTAACAGCTAACTAGCTTCAAAGTTAACATATTTCCAACACTCACTGCTCACACAGGCTCCTCCTCACATCACAAGTCTGCACTAATAAAAGTCCTTTTAATCCAGACTCAAGACGATTGTCCGTAAAAAGAATATAATCTCAGTGTTGCGCACCGCTGCGGGTGTAAACAATAGCACGTGAGTGAAGTGACGTGACTCTGGGGGTGTGTTCAGGGACAGTACGGACACAGACAAATTACACCGCAAATAAATACTGATGCGGAGCCACATATTAGGACATTTATCTGTCTATAAATTGGATTATATGAACATAATGTAGAGAGTCTAAGATTTATAACGAGGTATAACATGCCCACGTGAAATATCGGCCCATATCAGCAAGCATATCGGCCGATAGCCGATATGTCTCCAGGTGCCCATATTGGCCGATAATATCGGCCAGCCGATATATCGGTCGGACTCTATATTAAATAGTAAGACAGATATGTGTTCTGCTGCGATAGGCACTCCTTCATGAGTTTATGGATATAATAACAGCACAGAGGCTGCAAAACTTCTCTCTCTGTCACAGTCCACATTGAAGTGCGCCATACGCTTTGGAGCAGAGTTTATTCAGTTTTCCTCGTATGAGTGACATCAGAGCACATGTGCGTGTATACGAGCAACTGTGCCGTGCTATGTCTGTGTGAGACATGGTGTGAACCAATAGATGACAGTTTCAATCACTAGCTTCAGTAACACACAGTAATGGCATGTTAGTAACGGTAACAGTGTTGTAACGATAAAAAAGTAATTAGTTAGATTACTTGTTGTTAATTTATTATTAACGGTGTTAAAATAAACGCCAACCCATCGCTGGTTTTAACACAGCAGAAGCCTTAGTGAGATAAGCTGCTCTCTAAACAAGAGCTGTGCTGTGCCTAAATATTAACTGGAGTGAAGCACACTGAGGGCATGGTGTGTGAGGTGTTCAGTGAATTGCCAGAATCGTAAAAATAAATCTCAAACTAGTTCACTGAAAAACATCACCTGTAACATACTCAAGGCATAGAAGGCATTCTTTTATTTGGAAATATAACAGGATGATAAATTCATAACACTTCAACAGAAGGTTTAGTGCCAAATGTTTTGAGAGTGCACACGTCACACAGAACCCTAAATTGTAGGCTACTTCTATTTGTGATAAGCAACATGGCATGGTTTGTTTATTTAATTTTAAGAAAATTAACTAACAAAGAATACTGCAAATTATGAAAATATTAATAACTAAATCAATGTTTAAGTTACGCTAAACTGTGCTACGCTGTGATTAATGCTACTGCTGCATTAAACCAGGGGCAAGATACTGTCCACTGTCTCTCGAAAAGTGTACAACTATCTAGGAGAGACTAAAGTGACAGATAATCACTGCAATGTTGTACACTGAGCTGTATCTGACTCTTTTTTTTTTTAAGGAACAAAAATTGAAAATTGAATTGTCTAAAGATCTTCAGGCAGACTTTGAAATCACGGTAAGTAAATAGTTTTTATTATTTTTATTAGCAATAAACACATATTTTTTAAATATACCATTGCAGATCGCTACCTTTGACTTTGGTAACAAACACAAAAACCCCATGGATAACCTGTACGTCTATAAAAAGTCTGACCAAAACAAAGCAGTGAAGATCTCTGAAGAGAAGGTCTGCACTAAAGATGTTTTGATTTTATATTTGCTCTTTAATTGTGCAATTTTTTTTTTATAAATAGTTATTTTTATTTCAGGTTTCTCAGTTTCTCGTGCCAAAACAGTTTTCTGAGAAATGGATCCGTGTCTACTGCAAGAGCTGGGACAAAAAGACTCGAGAGAAGGCTCAAGAGAATTTTGACACGTGGTACCAAAAGAACGAAAGCTTTCTCCACGGTAACGTTGAATCAGTTTCTCTCCTCAAAGCACAGTTCAGCATACTTACAAACTATTAGATCTTAAAATCTAAAGATGTTGAATAAAATCAGCACAACTCTTTATCAACAGAAACAATTGAATCCATATATTTTCCTGCCTGTCATTTGTATATTTTGTTAGCTCAAATGTGTTAAAAATAAACTCCCTCAGCCTTTTCAGCAGGTCTCAAAATATAATAAAAAAAAAATACTTTTACTGTTCAAAGATGTAGTGGAGTAAAATGCACAGATACCGTTTTACAAATGTAGTGAAGAAAAAGTAAAAAGTATCCACTTTAAAATGTATTAAAGTACATATACCTGAAAGGTATACTTCAGTACAGTACTTTACTGCTTTTACTGATTAAATGAATAACAGCCCTAAACATATTCTTTAAAACATCTTTCTTCTCTGTAAATGCCCTAAAATTGATTAAAGAGTCCACTTCAGCTGCTGACAGCCGATCCACAACCAAAGGAAGGCTATTTTACACACAGCTGACACTCACCAAAATGTTTACAGCCAGATATGTGTTTATATTTATTACCATCATTGTGAGTGAAACAAAGTGCATTATGTTTGCAGATAAGGCAGAGAAAACCAAGAAGCCAATGGAAACCAACAATCCAAAGAGAAGCAAGCAGACTTAGTGAGGGACGACTGGGTGCTGGGGTCTCCCATGTCAGCGATCTAGAAATAATGCCAAGTTATTCTGAAACAGTTCGGCGTTTATTGGGTTGGGGTGTGTGTATGGTGGATGGGTATTTATCACATAGTTTGAAGTATAATCTGGGTATATACATCATGTGCAGAAAAAAATAGGTTCCCATGATGTAAATCTTTAATATTAGATCAGCAACATGATATAATAGATAGAGTGACTTCACATTACTGTAGACAGGAAAGGGCTGACGCAAGTGCACTAGCTTTGTTCGCTCACGACTTTTAAATTGTGGTGTATTTAGGTTATTTAGGCCTTAGTAGTTCAGTAGTTTATTTGTTATAGAAACTGTTCCCTCATAATCAAGTCAAAACCGTGGAACAGAAACAGATAAGTAATAAAGTCTGCAATTAGATCATTAGGGGATCAAGTTAAAAAGGTGGTGGATGATGAGAAATAAAGGAAAATTCCCTTTTGTTCCTCCACAAATTCAGACGTAAGACGAAAATAAAGATCAAAAGATACAAAAAGCCTTCTTTGCTTGTGTTATTAACCTATAGCCTAATTATATTCTGATGTTGTGAGTCAAATGTGAACTGTGATTGCTTCGATACCTGTAATTTGTGTTTTGATTTGATATCAATAGCCTAATTGACATTTGTTTGCAAACATTAAGAACATTAACATTAAGATCTGCTTGTGTCTGCTGTACAGTTATAATCTATGAGACCTGTGGATCATTAGGTTATATAAACAACTTGATAAAAGAAATAAATCCGCGTTAGAAAAATGCAGTGCAGCCAACATAGAGATGAAAGAGTTGGCATCTACGAAGGATAGCTGCAGTTTTGGGGTTTTTTTTCCATTTGTACCAAAATTACTATGAGACACTGTCAAAGTCTACGTGTTCCTTTTGGGTTCTTTTTAAAACAATACAGAGAGATGTATTTACCTTGTTGACATGTTTCGGATGCTAGCTGCAAGCCA